GTTTATAGATGGGTGTGCAGCGCTCGGGGTCACCAATAGGTGATCAAAAAACTAATTAAGTGTTACCAAAAGAACATAATGGTGTTTACAATCGTTAACAGTGAAATAAATAAATACCAAATTTCACTTTGTGCAAAAGTGTAATAAATGTCTTATTATGAAATTCCTAGTTGCAATCAAAACGTGCATCAAATACAAAAGGTTATCAATAAAAGTGATAGACATCAAATCAGCTCAAGGTCATCTATAAAAATGATGAATCACAGAGTCCAAACCTTATTAAAGTCCAAAATATATGATATATTGATGATGAAAAAAAGCGTCAAACAGGAGCTTAATCTTTCTCCCACACCATGTGTCCGTGACAAAACTCCCCTCTGGGATGCGCACTCACCAGACGCACCAGAGCGCAACAGCTTTTATTATTTATATTTATTTTTTTATATTATATTTTATTTAATTTTACTTATATCCATAAGCGCGGATTATACATATTTTATATAGAAGTTGATCTGTTGCCACGTTACCACGACCACTGGTTTAATTCCAGCTGTTCTATATCTCAACAGTCAGAAAAATTAAAGCAGATGCCTGATTGTTAAGGGGCGCCATTCTTTGTCTAATGGAAGGTCAAGTCTACCTAAAATGGCCATGTAAGGGTCTACTTATACTTTTTCAACTAAGATTTACACATATTTCTAATTGGATTCAATAGAGAAAATATGTAAATGGGTGAAAACATTTATGAATGGGTCCCACAGTATTAAGTGCGTACAGGTGTCTTGAACCACCCATCAGCTGGTTATCAGCTAGAGATTGGGAAGTAAAACCTCAAACCTGTTTTTCTGGGTACAAATAAAATTAGGAAGAAAAAAAAAGCATTGGTTACATTTGCCAAGCCTAGCAAAGGCTAAAACAAACCTCCAGTGAAATAAGTATTACAGCATGGGGCATGACATCAGGTACCCAAGAGGCATCATATTAGCTAGACCCTACATAAATACAAGGAGACTGATCTCTGAATTAGTAAAAGTTAAACTTCATAAGTTTTACAAAATAATTACATATGGCCTGCAAGACAACACTGTCTGTGCACACTGCTCTATTGCTGTGCAGTTAACAGGCAATGTGTAGCTGTAACAGAATGTTCTGTAAGCCTGTGGAAAGCAGAAACAATCTGATTGGGACGAGAGCTTTAGCAGCTGTGTGCTGCCTCCCATGACTTGATGCAAAAAGATTGCAGGGCTGTTTATCAATAGACAGGGCTTCAGCAGGAAACAGATTTTTGCACATGTTACAAATGGGTGCTACTTTTCCTGTATCATAGTCCTGAAAAAAGGTCAAAACCTGTAGGTTCAGTGGATTACGCAATAATGGTGCTTAAGCAAGATAATGTTATTTCTTGCATATGATTTATCTTAAATAGCACATTAAGAGCAAATATATGAGCCCAGTTAACTTGCATCTGCAGGTGCCAGATTACAGAACCTACGTACATTGTAATATTGTGAACTTTAGAACCTTCTATTCTTTTCAAATCACTGTCTATCCATAAATCTACTCCTGTTATCATAGAAATGGCAGAAGCAAGATTACCGCCATTGCCAATAGAAACAAAAGGCTTTTATTTTTCTTTAACCTATAGAGCCCCAAAGGGTAGCACTCCAAAGTGCAAAAAGCCATGCAGCGGTGGTTACATAACATGAAACCTATAACACGTTTTCCACAATCACTTCACAGTGTAGTTTATAAAAACATAAAAATTGGAATTCTCTGCTGGGCATACAACAGATTGCTGATGATTTTGCAAAATCTCATGTTTTTTGGTAGGTTTTAGTCCAAGCTAGTTTTTTTCCTTATTGGACAGGAAACTTACCTTTGCTACCTCTGTAGCAACAGATCATTTCTAACAGTGATCTAGTGCTAGCCGTCGCCAGCAAGTGATATATAAACCATTGACGTTGTCTACACCAACAGTGGAAGCAAGGTAGAGCTTGATAAGCTCTACTATGTTCCAAAGTGGACACAGAACTTAAAAAAACGAACACTACACATACACGCTCCCCATGTAAAACACATACTCCCCATGTAACCAAAATGCAGCAGCAGCAGTGTGGTTACACCATGCTATATAATGCCAACAAAGCGTATTGTAACAAGACAAACACATGAGCTGATCATGTCAGCTCCCAGGCTGAGCATTTGACCCTGGCTATCACTGAGAGCCAATGTATCCAGCACTGAAGACTACAGGACCCATGTGCAGCTGCTGAAACCCAGTGTTGCAGTTTACATATCATTTTCTGTACATATTTTCCAAGGGTAGGTTACTTTGTGGGCCCCCCCACCTAATATGTTGTGCAGTACGTGTAGTATCAGTCGTCCCTAAAAGGTGACCATGCGCCAGTCGATTATCGTTTGGAAATTGTCCACGAATGGTCTTGCGTACGATAATCGATCAGTTGTTGGAGACACGATTTTTTTTTTACTGCACTCCTGGACTAATTTTCAGGAAGGGTGAGACTAGAAAATTTTCAAATTATACGCAAAAAAAAAAACCCCGCAACCTGAACACTGCACATGCACAAACGAAAATACATTCTGTCAATCTTTGAAATATATGACCTAGTATTGCTAACGATCAAACCAACATTTGTTGGTGCATGTTGGGTATTCGAGCGGAAATCGAATGGGGGTTCGATGACAGCATGAAAAAAAAAAAAATGTAACGATAAATCGCAGTGTGCATGGCCAGCTTAAGACAAGTGTACATGTTGGCAAGAACACCAAAACTACAGTATCCTTAATTTTTCACAATCCCACTCCACTAAAATAAACGACAATGATGCCTTTTTATAACAATGATCCTAAGTGCTCCATTCACTTTAAGGCATCATTCACACTGGCAGTGTTAAACCTGCATTTATAGCACAATCCTACATGCATATAAATGCATGGAATTGATTTTCAACAGCATCATTCAGAATGTGCTTACCTGTAATCGATTTAGCTAACAAAAATAGGATTCTGTGCATCCAGGATCTGATTAGAAAATCTAAACGTGGCTAAATGCATGTAAACATGTCTAAATGTGACTAAGCAGGAACATCTAGATGCACATAGAATTACTTCAGTTTATGATTGCCATAAAAACATTAAAAAGGATAGCACCTAATAAGACCAAATGCGTTAGTATTGTGACCGTCATGCTGGGCTCCTTAACACAGCAGCAGATAAACTTTCCCTAGTATCAGCTCAGGAGTTTATTGTCAGGGATGGGTGTTCTCCAAGATAAGACTTGGTTTGTGCCTCTCAGCAGACTCTGGCAATGAGCGGTACAATGGAGGCTGATATCTAAATCCTGCATGTATATCCAACGGTCACCTACATATAGAGAGTGTGCATATGCATATAAATATATATTACACACATTGTACATCTACCCATCATCCATACATATATAAATAAAAACGCTAAATCTATCCCTCTATGAAATCTTTATATATGTATATCTATAATCTTGGACACAAAAAACAAAACACAATGTCATTTCTATACAAGAGACTTTTCAGACTTCAATATGAGACTCTTCTAGGGTGTAAAATAACAGTTATACTAACCCAAACTTAGGATTCTTAGGCCACTGCAGTGGAGGGGCAGAGGCAGGAAGGTCTGGTCTAACAGCCAGCTTGCGCCAAGGTTCAGGTGAGTACAACTTTTTTTTATTTTACACCATAGGTAAAAACAAACACTTTACATTTGAGGTGCAGGGGTAGCCCCACTGTAAGGGTTAACAATATTTTTCCCTGGAACTCTTTAAAATAAATCTGTTAGGAGAGGATATAGACAGGCAGCATTGCTGTCCTCATTCAGCAAATGGAAGTTGCCTGACTGTCATGCTGACCTAAAGTTCTTTCAGAGCCCCTGAAAGCAGCAAGTACACAGATCAGGAAAGTCACAAGTGTCATTGTCTGCATACCTTGACCCAGAAGGAGAGAAGGGAAAAAAAAAAAAAACACCCAGATTTAGCGAGACAGCCAGTCATCTAGCATTTGCAGAACGCTTAGAAATGGCTGCCTCCAATTTTCCCTTATGACAGGATTTTTTGACTTTTGAAAGCTGATGTGTATGAACTCATTATCAGTACTATGTGGGGACTGTTACCCACTTGTTTGCATTAGACATGACCATTAAAAAAAGCTTTGTACTTTATATCTGAATAAACACTATAAATGGTCTACTAAAACAGAAAAGAAAAAAACTAAAAAACTGCTTATTGGGGATTAGTTTAATTTGGTGGAAAATGAAGAAATCTAAGCAGGCATACATGAAACAGGTCTGGTTTCACTAGCTGGTGGTCCAAAGTCAGCTCCTTTGAAATCTTTGTACACAGACAAATCCATGAATGATATTCTTACAAACTCAGGCAGGATATAATAAAGGCTGATCTTTAAAAGAATAAAGCGAGTGATTTTCACTCTGCCTCATAATCTAAGCCGACCTGTGACAATGAAACTGCCACATGTCGGCTCAGTAGATCGGGAAGTGAGCGAACACATACAGTCGCTCGCTCACCTCTCGATCTATCTCTGCAGAGAGCCGTAACCGTCACTCAGGGCTCCCTGCAGGGATTCCCCCCCTCCCCTGTCCGATCCTCCAGTGCTGACTGGCGAAACAGACGGGGGAAGGGGCGGGCACAGCTGTCAATCCCGCAGCTGGGTGAATCCAGACAGTATTGTCGGGATCCGTCCCGGCTGCGGCGGTCTCAGTATACCGCGAGCTGTAGCTCGCGGTACACTGAGCTTTTGGGTCATGGGAGAACGCTAGTTTGTGTTCTCCAGTGACCCTTAGGAGGACTGCGGGAAAAGCCCTGACGCCATAGTTCTCCTTTAAATTACACCCTATACAGCTACAAATTTTGATCTGAACATTCATCTTCAAGGACAACGAAGTAACCATTTAAAGAGGATGGAAGAGAAAATCTCTAGTATTCATCTTACCGGTGATGGCAGGAACGCTTCATGAAATTTCTTGGGATTAATCCTTAGGGAACCCTAGTGAATAAGTGCAAAAGCAGTATGAGATATAGTAGGCCATACATTGCCTGCTCTAAGCATGCACAAAGGTTGTTCGAAAAAGTTAAACCGTATTTTACAAAATAAACAATATTCTAAATTCTTTCAGCCCATCACTTTCAGTGTTGCAACTTGCATTCTGAGAGGGTGTAGCAAAGAATGATATCAAAAGATTTAAGGTAAATCAAACCACAATATCCAGAGGATGATTCTTTTATTTAGGCTGCTGCATTATGAGATCATGTCAGAGAGGATTTCTCAGGTGCTAGGTTCCCGACAGATCAAACTCTATACTCCTACAGCGGTTATTTTATTCTGGCTGTCACACATGTTTCTCTTCAACCCATCTGCAGGTTCAATGCTTCCAAGGCAAAAAACAGAAGTTCGCCCAAGATTTGATAGACCACATGCCTGCAGCTGCTTGTTTGACTTGCTAGATTGTCATCAAGCAAATTTGTGGGCTCTGGGCCACTAAAAATCAACATGCGGTAAAACAAAATACAGAGTACACCCAGAGACTTGCAAATAGAACTGGAAATACAAGAGAAAATGTGCCTCTCCTGGTCCCTCACGTGGGAGATTAGGAAACGTGTTATAGGACTTGCCCTACCTCTCCTAAGAAAACCAACACTTCTCCGAGTCATGTTTACTCATAAAATGAAATAGGGGGGGGGTCTGAAAATCTTCAAACAGGAAGGGGATAGAAGTGCTCTGTAGGTACAGATTGAAGTTACATATTTATGTTTGCAGGATCCATACAATCCACACTGGCTTCTACTGCTCTCATACACTGATCATAGGTTTAGCCGTGAAAAAGCCACCTTTTGATCTTTATCTGTTAATACATAAGCTAGGTGTTTAAAAAAAAAATAAAAAAACATTGAGACTATTTTTCTCTGTATCAAAGTGATTGATACATTTTACCAAGCACACCTCTTCATCCAAGTGTATGAAGTAAATTGGCCACTAAACTGGCTAGTTTTAAAAAATGGTCACCAGAGTAATTGTACTGGTAGTCCTGGCAGCTCAATCAAATATACAGAAGACCAAAAATACTAGCAGCTTTCAACTATTTATTGGCGGGGTCTGTCAGCATTTTACATTTAATGCCTTTTTCAAGGCCAAAGTGAACACAAATGTAGGTTAAGGTAATAAGAACCTCAAAAGTTTTCAATGAACTACAGTACTAGGATTTCAACCACATTCTGTCAATTAAAAAAAAACACTACACCCTCAACCATGAGCTAACACATGACTTCAGTGAATTGACTAAAAAAGCAGCTCACGTCAATAATTTACATGAACTTCTATGACTAGAATGAACTTCTATGACTAGAATGAACTTCTATGACTAGAATGAACTTCTATGACTAGAATGAACTTCTATGACTAGAATGAACTTCTATGACTAGAATGAACTTCTATGACTAGAATGAAAGGTAGCCATACACCAATAGATTTTTCTAAAGAACTTTTGTACGAAAGATCTTTCACTCAATGTTCTTTTGGCTGATGTGGGCCAAATAGATCATAGATTTCAACCATAGTGACAAAAAAAAAAAAATCGGAGCAGGATGGAACATTTTTCTCGAACGAACTTCTAAAAATTCAGAAAAATCCATTACAAAATCGAATGATAAAACAAAATTTAGTTTGACACTCGTCAATTCTCTGATGGCATTATGAGGTGGTAAAGAAAAATATTTCATTGGTAAATCATTTTTTGTTCAGAAATCTACTGGTGTATGCCCAGCTTAAGTGCCTGCAATAAAAAAGCCATCAAGGTCATTTTGGTTCATACACGGGTTTTTCTTTCAACTTGCATTAGAAAAACTTCAAGTTTAACACCACAGTGTGTACGGCACACAATATACATTATTTTGTTTCTAAAGCAGCTGAATCTGTACAAGAGCAAGAACTGTCCAGACAGAGGCTGTCACAACAGCAGGGATCTATTTTATCAGTCTGCACAGGGTTAAGTGATGTTGCTATCACAAAATCTTAGGATTCCTGGAGATTTACAGTAAGCTCACCATCAGAATATGTGCTCACATTGTGCAAGATTCATTTTCATCTCTGGCTTCTCTTTAACAAGCAATTATCGCACTTAAAATTTATATCTGTGAGCAGATGGGTCCAATATCTTTCCCGACCAAAATTCTATTTACCATGTTGCTCATTTCACGCTGTGATCTCATATTTGGAGCAGGCTGCGTTTCCCATCTGCACAGAACAGATGTTTTTGTTGAGGGGTGGTGATGAGAGGAGGTCTGTCCAGTGAGGACTAGAGGGTCGCTATGTCACAAAAATGGTGTCCACTTACAATAAAAAAAACTTTAAGCTAGATTAAATTGCTACTGCTTAGTTTTGCAGAATTTAGGTAAATGAGAACTGTGCTGTACTATGACTGAATCTGGGAGGGGTTAAATCATTTATGAGCCAGTAGATAAAGTGTTTATCTGGGGTTAATCAAAGGCACAACTAAATGTATAATTCAGTAAATGTTGAACTCCAACCAATAAAAGCAACATCATGGCTCACTTGTTAAATGTGAAAGTTCTACTAATGAACATCTGGAGATAACAGAATACGCTTCAAGATCCACAGCAAATGAGGCATATATGCTAGTAGCAAATCGAGACAGGACAGTAAAGACCAATTAATGGGGCTTTAAACATTAAGCAATAAAATGGCAAAACGGCTGCAGCAGCGCACAGACCCTCACTGATCAGCTTTTTTGCGGCTGTGAAATAGCAGCTCTAGCCTTAATCAGGCATCCTTTAGTCCCCCTCTATGTTGTGTTAGATTGAATTTTCTCACTTTATTTTTTATTTCACATATCCCTTCAAAATGCAAAAAGGTATTTATTCATTTATTTACTTGCCCACATAAATGCTACCATTATGTGAATGTTATCAGTCATTGCTAGAAATGTTTTCACAATGCTTTAAAACAGTTTTTAGCATTCGTTTTTAGTAAACTATAAAACAATAAGCTGATCAAAAAAAGTGGCTTAAAACTAAATATGGATTTTAGAGAACACACACACGTAGAACAGAGGGGAAAAAGAAACAAAAACAACAAGTTACTAAGAAAAGGAATTTACAACTAGGTTGTATACTGGGAGAAATATTTTCCAATGTGTAGCTGACATAGTAATCCCAATGGCGTATTTGAATTACCAATTTTGCTGCATCTTTTTACTAGTTTGAAAACGATACAGCTCAAAGAAGTTACATAAATATTAATATATTGTCTTTAAACTAGTGTGGGTAACTTGACAGTTGAAAACATTGGCAGCTTTTCACATAGAATTGTATGCGTTTTTTTTAATTGTATGCTTTGCCAAAACTTTTTTTCAGTTTGGATGGGGTGTAAAAAAAATTTTGTTGCTGGTTTCCTACTGGAGATGCAACCTCCACAAGGTGAGGGGAATTCGAGACTTTTAATCACCAGAACAGGTGTTCCCTATTGGATTTTTTTTTACCCTAAACTTGTTCTGGTGACAACTTTTCCATCACTTTCTGAATAGGCAACCATGGTCACCAGGACAAAAAGGGTGGGAACAACACAATAATAAGGACCTGACAGGGGTTCCTTTACTTTATCTAAAAATCAGAACAAAAAAAAAATGTCAATAATGAACGCAGATCAAACAAATATAAATTGCCCAGCAAAGTATTTTTTTTGCCCAAGCACTTGTGGTCATTGTGTTTCCTAACAGCTGGTGCCAACTCACTCCCCTCCCATTTCCCTGAACGTCTTGGAAAGTACAAGATCACAAGGGACAGAAAAGTCTCCAGCAGCTGTCCATCTACTAGCTTGGAGAAGGAATGGGAGTGGCTTGCCTTCCTGTGCTTGTGCGTTGGTGAAGACATGCACAGCTTACTAGCAGACAGAGGGGCAGCTCCAAAAAGAACCATGCAAGGGAAAGGAGCCACCCTAAAACAGGATATCATGGTCAGTGGGCTCTGGGGACTAGCTGATTCTACGGGAAGCTTTAAAAAACCCCCTTTAAAACATAATCAAGGAACAGCATAAGTGATTTTATCAGCATTTAAAATTGCGTAGAAACCCTTTAACTTGAATGCATCACTTTGGTTCTGAGGACTGGGTTATACTGCAGCCTTCTAAGTGTCAAAATTTCAAGGGGTTTAGGGTGTTTTATGAGAGTTGATACGTTTTTCCAAAGCGTTTCACACGTTTACAGCTTCTGCTGCCCTCCATTTTGTTCCCCACTGTTTTTTGCTAAGAATATGGCTGGTTCTTGCGTGACAAAATGCTTCAGAAACACCAGATAACACCTGTCACACAAATTACAGGCATTCTACCATTGAGGTCTATGGGGTCAAAAATGAAGAAATTAGCATTTTTTCCACCTCTACAGACACCAGGACACTCAAATGTGAACAGGCACCACTGAAAATAATGGAAAGCCTCTGTTTGAGCATTGTAGCGCTTAGCCCTATCAGCTACAAAATGCCTAGGTGTGAACTAGGACTAAGGGAAATTGAACTTTTGTAGTTCTTGAAAAGCCCAAGAAGCACTCTCAGATCTAGCAGAGTGCACTTTGACAAGAGGGGGTGGAACCTTGTCCTGAAAAGGGTATCGAAACCCATTAAAAAAATGCATTAGTGCAGCTTACAAACTCCTTAAATGCAGTGGCTACATTAGTTTTCTTCCCTCCCTCCCTTTATACCTGGTGATCTGGCCATTAACACAGGTTCTGTCTTAGCATGGCTCTTCTCTATGGTGGAAAAGTGGAGCCACACTTGGACAGCAGCATTCACAAACTGTGGAGAGGGTAGTGTTAGATGCACCTGCAAGTTTAGATTTACAAATTAAAAAAACAGACCTCAAAACACTTCATTGGGGATTAAAAAAGTTTACATAAAATGAATAAAAAGCTAATTGTAAGCACCCCTATCAGTGTCAAATGATTTGCTTCGACAGTTCGGACTTTTGGAAAAACAGACTTG